ATTTAAACAATAGTCTTAAACAATTGTCTAAAAGTATTCCAGATATTTTATATTTATCTTATATTTCAAAAAAATCATTAAAATTTTCATTTACACTGATGTATGTAAGAAACTAATTTTGGCAAAAATGAATAAATCATATTTATTTATCGCTTTTTTTGATACACAAATTGATATGCAAGCATTGAGAAGTTTTCTAAGAAAATCATTATAATGGTTCTTTGGGATATTTATCAGCACATAGGGCCAGATATGATGCATAATAACAGCATATATGATTTAAAAAAAATTAGAATTTTTTTTACATCTTAAATTTAAAGCTTAGTTGTATCAATAATTTAATTTCTTATATCACAAAAAATTAAGGATAATTTTTTCAATAAGAAGTGTTGAATATCCCTTTCTGTCGAAGGAGTATTCACCTTCGTAAAATTAAAATCAAAATTTCATTCTTAAAAATTAACAAAATCATAAATTGGTTAAAATGTATCAGCTTATTCTAGAGCAATACATCTACAAAAACATTAGATATCATAAGCAGACCAACAATTCCTTATGTATGTATGTCCTTTGACCATAATATGAAAAGGTTTCCATAGCAACAGCTTCTCCCATCGGCAACAATTTCTTGACCTTTTTCTATTCAGAGACACATCTCAGAAAATACCTATCTCTGACCCTTGCAAGCGGACAGTTACAACTATTAATATCCCTTAAAATTATATTCTTAACATTAGAAAGACGGAAAATTAGTATATAACCTATATTGCCTAAAAGCAGTCAAAATGACAGGATTGTGAATGCGTAAATAAATTTGTCTAAATTTAATTTTTAACATTTTTTATATTATTTACAGTTATGTAACAAGTTATTAGTAAATATTAACAATAAAAAAAATTATATGTTGTACAAAAAGTCACAAAGTTCTAAGAAATTGTGTCATTATAGACATCATTGTTCTTCTAATTGAAATTAAAAGCAGTCAAACTGACTTTCTTAGGCAATCTAGTGTTAAATAGATGTTATTATTGGATTTAATTTTGTCATTTCATGAAATGTTAAGAAAACCTCGTATTTGTGATAAATTATAATGTAATAATAATTATTGAATTCTATATAAGAATAACTATTTAATAGTTAACCTTGGCGTTTTTTAGTTAAACTAAAAATAATGTTATGATATGAGTGAGACAAACAATGTCTTCGAAGAATATGGAACAATGTTCTTTACCTCGAAGCATAAGCTTTGTCTAATTCTGTTGAATGGTTGAAAAATATGTGGATTTGAGCTGATATAAATCACCAGTTTAGTAATTTGTTAGCATGTTAAGTAATTTAAAAACTAGTTTTTGAAAATTTTTCAAAATATCAGTAGTTTACAGAAGCAGTTTACTGAATATATTTTCCCTTCAATTTAAGAACGCATTTATTTAAAATCAATTAATATACTACACTTTTTATAGATCGCAACATACATGTCAAATTTGAGGGATTTCAAAATGCCACTTAACATATTTTTTTTCAAAATATATTTGGTGGTGATTTTTTAAATATTTCAAAAAGGAGGTTTCAGAATGTCTGAACAAAGTATATTATTAAAGATGTACTTTTAAAGTGTCACTTAATATATTTTCCTCCAGATCGTAATAAGTGACATTTTAATACTTTAAACGAACTTAGAAGAAGAACATGTTAAGTTATTTGAAAAATAGAGTTTTAGAATGTAAAGGAGCTGTTTGAACAGCATGTTTTTCCCTTCATCTAAAAGCATATTTATTTAAAATAAATTAATATTCTATATTTTCTACAGACCATTACATATTCTTAAATTTGAGTAGACAAAAAAATTTTGTTTTTTTTAAACATATTTATAAAATATGACATGTGGTATTTTTAATAATTTAATAATTTTAATAATAAAAGAAGGCTTAAAAATTTATTGAGGTTGGAAATTTTTTTAAAAATAAAACTTATTTATTCAAAATCGTTTCATACTTCATATTTTCCATTAACCACTACAAATTAAAATAGTGAAATCAGAATATCTCTCTACTGAATATGTAGAACGTTAATTCAGAACATGTTAATAACAGAATATTCCAGAATTTGTTAAATGAAATTTTTAGCAATGTGAAAAGGAAACTTTAGACATTTACAGCTGTTTTATACAACATGTTTTTCTACTATTCTAAGTTACTTTTTATCCAAAATAATTTTATTGCTCCATGCATTTCACCGACCATAACATATTTTTTGACTAAATTGTTTCAAAATGTCATTTAACACATATTTCCACTGAGCACTTAAATTGAGTACGATGGCACCACATAAAATCAACTTAAGTGGCATTCAAAGTATTTTGAGAAACAAACCTTAAGCAAAGCATATACATACATGGTATCAATTTATTATTAACAAGGACACCATAGGTACCATACAATGATATCATTGTACACCACTATTAGGTAATACCCAAAATTTATACCAATCTAACTATTTTTAAATAACTTATTTATGTAGTATAATGAATTTCTAATTATAACCCGTCTAACAGAATTAAATAGCGTTTACTTTTAATTAGCAGAATTGTTAACGTTTCTCTTTTGACAGAATTTAGTATTAATTTTACGATTAATAAAAGTTATTTCATAGTTAAACAAATTGAAAATCATATTAAATCTTCTAACAAAATATTTCCTTGCCTCAAAATTTTAATACTTATAAATAGGCTCAAGTGAGTGTTACTTAAATACACAAATATCTGTTTCTAAACTATGTATATGCATCTAACTAATCATTCTAACTAACATCATTCTATCATTCTAACTAATTTTATAGTTTTTGTATAACTACTTTTTTATAAACAAGTGTAGCAAATTTCAGATAATTTTTTCTATAGCCCATGTGGAAGAGGGAAATATTGATTCCTTTTAATTAACCGAATTGTTACCGATTTTCTTTGTTTCATTTAAGTATTTTTTTACGAACAATAAAATTTATGTAATAAATAGGCAACCAGAAAATCGGATTAAATCCCCAAGCAAAATATTTCCCCGTCTCTATAGTAATCGAAATTCCAATACTTCGAGCCTTGTGTATGTACACAAACAACTGTTTCAAAACTGCGTAGATGTAGGAAAGAAATAAAAATCTCCAAACGAAACGAAGAAAGATTACTGCAATGAGAGAAAATGGGACGAGGTAGAATTGAAATTGAAAAATAAAACAGGATAAAAAAAAATGATGAAATGAAAACTTTTTATATATATATTGGATGAAACATCCAAAACTACTGTCACAATCAACGTCATTGTGAAACTCCAGAGAAAAATAAATACTATAAAAAATAAAAGAAAAAATTTGAAGCGATGGTCTCCAAAGACGTTCATTGGAAATCGAAATGCAACCGCGATGAAGAATCGGAATCGTTTTCTTTCATGCTTGTTGCCACATTTCTTAAGCAAAAAACAAAACTAATAAAAGAATTGAAGAAATAAAAAAAAGCCGTATTATTTTTGCGTTTATTGTTAAAAAGCGACATTCCATGGTTTAGTTGAGATTTTTTTTTTATCAGAAACATATGGTTGAAAACAGTTGACATTCTTTTCCATTTATAGATAGCTTTAAGCTTTACCCTTTTTCTAGATATAAATCTATATAAATATTTTTTTCATCCCCACACACATATATGTGTAGTTTTTTATTTTTTCATTTCATCATTTTTTTTTTCTTTAAAAAATCGTTACTAACTTTCTTCGAAAGCAAGCAAGCGTGTTGACCGCTTTCGGTTGACAGTTAACACCACAGAAATGTCATCTGCTATAACCCCACCCCATCCTCAAACGCCCACGCAGATACCTTCTAAAGGAAGAGATAGATTTATTGGGAAAACTGTCTGAGTATGGATGTAACTGGGGAAAGGGAAGGGGGTGTATAGGAATAAGAATCTTAGAATGGCGGTTTTAATGTTTTGGAAAGATATCTGTACTTTAAACTGGTGGGTGAGGGTTTTCTTATCTACTTCGACATCTTAGAAAGTTTTCCTTGATCCCCCCTTCCACCATCACTATCAATAAAAGTTGATTCAGAATTTCTCTTTTAAGAGCTGCAAAAATTTTTTTTTTCTCTTTTGGTTTGGAATTCGATTAAATAAAATGTGTGAAGTTTAGAAATCTATAGAAGAGCAGAATGCATTTACGACTGCCCTTTTTCCCTTCCCTCAATCAAATGGACTTCGAATATTTTATTAGAATTCCAATTAATATTAAATAATTTTTAATAAAGCATCAAATATTTGAGTTGCTTATATTGTTTGATTGTTTTGCTTTCGTTTTTAAAATATTGTTTAGATGTAGTTTCTAGTGTGAGATAAAATAGATTTCTGAATAACAAAGCAAATCAAAATGAGTATTAACTAACGGAAAAAGAAGAAGAAAAAACAGCATGAGTAAAGCACAAATGACAAGAACAAGATATGCTTTATTCACGTTTTTATCTATTTATTTACTTGTAGTTAACGTAGCACGAAGTATACCCTATCGTTTGCTGAATCAAAATAATTATTCCTAATATTACCAAAATGTCTTATTTATGTAATGAAAACAAATTTTATTTTTAATTCAATCATATAAATGACAAATTCATAAAAATATAGCAAATTATTAAGGAAATGGGAAGGAATTGCTGAAGTTCAATAGGAAAAATTTGCTTTAAGGGAGAATAAAAATTTAGAAATCCAATCCTAAAGAAAAATATTTCAAAATAATACTAATTATTATAACTTTTCTGTGTTCTTCTATTTGATAAAATTGTTGTTTTGATTTGCTGAATGCTCTTAAAGTTAAAATGAATAATTTGCTAGGATTTTTTCAAACAAATTTCTTGAATCTTTCATTTCAAATTAAATTTAATGTTAAAAATCTCAAACTCAAAAAGCTCTTTAAGCTATAAAGCACTAAAAATCACTAATTTACGAATGATTTTTTTTTTTTATTAATTAGAAGGAAGCGTAACGGAGGCATCAACACCCAGTGATCAAAGTGGTAGTGGTGAGGAGGATTCAGCGGCGAGGTTAAGGTTGAAAAGAAAACTACAAAGAAATAGAACATCTTTCACACCAGAACAAATAGAAGCTCTTGAAAAAGGTAGGAAACATAATTGACATTTGACCATATTAATTAGCATAATGCAGCGGGATTTTTTTATAACTCTATAATTTGTTGGAAAAAAAATGAAAAGAAAAAAATAAATAAATGGTTGTTAAAACTTCATCATAAATTTAAATTATAATTTAGTTTTAAAGAAATTTTTTTTATAATTCTTCATACTAGTACATAAAAATGATATTTTTCTGACGAAATGATAACTTTATTATTTAATATAACTTTATTCAGATATTTGTTCACATTAACGTCTTCTCAAATATTAAATTATAATTGTAATACGTTAACATGGATCCTTACGCATGAATACTAATATACTTATGCTACTGATATACTGTTGCGTAACATAACTGGTATACTTTTATTTCAGAGTTTGAAAGAACACACTACCCCGATGTATTTGCAAGGGAAAGGCTAGCAGCAAAAATAGATCTTCCTGAAGCAAGAATACAAGTAAGAAATGTTGACAGTATTTGTTATAAATAACTAAAATCTTGAATACGATAAACCATGGAAATTTTTAAATGTTATTAAGTTGTTAATATTTTAAAAAAAATTATTTTAGGTCTGGTTTTCAAATAGAAGAGCGAAATGGCGAAGAGAAGAAAAACTTCGAAATCAACGCCGGGCGGCAGAGCAGGCAACGACGACGCCGGGGCGCTTACCCCTCAATACGGGCTTTCCTAACTCCCTTTATCCGAGTATTGGACAACCCATGGCCAGTATGGCTGAAACATACAGGTGTGGGTTCGTATATATTTTATATTCTTCTATATGTTTTGTGACGTGAAAAAATTTCATGAAATTTATTTACTTCGTAACAAAACTTAACTTCTTTGTTCGATTTCTGTGTTAAATTCAACTTGATTAAATTTGATTCTAGCATTCCACTTAAGTTATAACAAAACTGTTTGGAATAATTTTTTCCCACCCACTCCTTTCATGGTTTCGGATGAAAAATATTTCAAACTTCATAGTTGTGAAGAAAGATAGTATTTTATTAAATATCATGCAAAACTTTATTGTTTACATTTACGTGTACGAAAAAATTTACTTATTTCAAAACCATTTTCGAAAAATTTTTTTTGGCAAAAAAAATTTTTAATAATAAAAAATATAAATTAATAAATAAAAAATTAACAAATAAAAAAATTGATAAATAAAATTAGAGTCTGGGACAAATATTTCAAGAACACAATTTTCGAACATGAATTTAGTTATTTATGTAGTTCCAGTTTTGATTACTTTTTGTCAACTGAATAATTCGTTTAAAGGAAATGATAAAGGAAAGTCGTGGTAGGTTATTAAAGCTATAGAAGCTATGGAGCTATAGAAATTTAAATTTAGGAATTATTAAATAAAAGAATATGATGATATAAAGTTTAAACTAAATTACACAATACCTGTTTCTTTCAATTTTTTTGTTCTTTCAATGTTTTGATTTTTTAAATTTTTTGTAAATGTTTAGGATTTTTAATAAATACACAGCTTTAATGTATACTTTTAGATTGATTTCATATTTAAATTATTTTTTAAACATAAGTAACGCAATTCACGTGTTAGACTGCTCATTTTATGAGTCAAAATAGAGATTAACTGTCTTTAAAAAACAGTAACAAAAAACACTTGAATGCGTAGCTTTTTTTAATACATAAACAAATTATCGGCATTTAAAGATTTTTTGTAATATTTCCTCTAATAAAATGATAAAAAACTGTAAGTTAACTTTTTTAAAATAAATTTCAAATTATCTACTATATCCTAAGATTTAGCTCCTTATGTTATATTTTTATCTTTCTGATTTTTTTCTTATATTAGAATTTTTAAACAAACTCAATGAAACATAGCTCTTAAATTGCATTGATATTTTTTTTTTTCCAAATTTTATTCAGTTATTTTCAATAACAATTTTTTCATACTCAATTCTTTTCTTCATTGTTTTATTACTAATCTTTTTTAAAAAAAGTTAAATATTAAGGAACATTTATTTTATCAATATTCAATCAGAAACTATACTTTCCCAAGAATAACTGAATTTCCCAATGCTAACAACATTTGCATTAGCTTAACATATCATTAACAGCATGTTTCATCTGTTACAGTACAATCCCTACGATGCCGACGTATTCATCTAACATGACACCTAGTTCATGTTTACAACAACAGACAACCTCATACTCATGCATGCTACCTCCTGGCGGGACTAGGAGTTATGATCCACTCTCACTAGGTAATTACACCAGGCCAACGTGTCCAACGGCTCAACCTCACGTCATGCAACCAGTCAATAGTCAATTTCCTAGTGTCAACAATGGCACCGCTGCTTCAACAGGTAAATATTACGCATAGTCATCTCTGTTAAAGCTATTGAGTTGAAATTATTAATCAAAAGCGCTGTACCAAGTATATAGTTTAATATATGTAGTGTATAGTGATGTAGTTTAGTTTGGGTGATATGGAGGCGTTTGGATGACGCGATTAATAAGTATTATATGTATATATATATATATATAATTTTTGTTCTCTTTGCCAAAAATAAGCACAAGAAGGATAA